GCGCGGGGCCTCGTCGCCGCCGCTGAATTGCCGGTGGCCGGCGCGAGCGGAGGGAAGGCGGGCTGGCAGCTGCGACCCCGCAGGGTCTCCAGCAGCCTGATTGAGAAGCGCCCGCTGGTGTCAGATCTGCCTGCCTCTCCCTGACACCGGAGCCTGCAGTTTCTCTTTGCTTGTGGAATTTCAGAGAGCACTGGAAACAGGTCCGGCTGCATATTTTGAGTGAGTGCGTTGTCCATGTGAAATTAAGAAAGAGAGAGAAGACAGGTTCTGTTAGCATGAGCACAAATTTCCAGGCTCAGGCGCTCTTCACCAGCTCACCCTTCCTTAGACTAGAAAATGATTGGTGCTGTGCACCTCGTTCTAATAGAATTCTTTCTCCTCATGTTTTAGAATTGAAATCTAGTGCCTAAATTCTAACAGTCGGAACAATCTAATGTTTTTAATCAAGACACGAAGAATATATGCCTTTTTAGTCCTCTGCTTGGCAATCTTCTTTTTGTACTTTTCTTTCCAACATTTCAGAGGAAACGGCAAACAAGGCAAACCGAGGCAAAAGGTTTACTCAGAGCATTCATATTATCAGGTATAAATGTTCAGCGCTGTTGGGGTTGGAAAGGGCGCAGGCAGGCAACCCGAATTGCTGGAAGTGCTTGGATCATGACAGCAATCAGGTGGGTTTTTATACTGAGGATAGGGGCGGGGTACTGATGGCTTGCCTTTCTTTTACTTATTGTTTTTGGGTCCTTTCCATAGCTCTAAAAATGCAGAGCTTCTCATTCTGACTGTAGGAAAACACATTACTTAATCCTACAATCTCAATCAACAAAAGTAGCCTTGCTTTTCAGTTGAAAATGCATAGCTCAGGTCAGCAGCAAGGTCTTTGCCTTGAAAGGTTCTTCTGTTTCCTTTTCTAAATGTTTGGTTTAGGCAAAAGTAGCAGTTACGGAATGCCACGTGATCCAGTGTTTGGATAGAGGTTTGCCCTTATTTTCATTCCCCTTTGCATCTGTTTGCATATACCCCACAAATACAAAACAAGGTATTCTTGGGATAGTAAATGTTTTGTCCAAAAGAAAGCAACGTGAAGAAAACTTTTTCTCTAGTTGGCACAGGGTTTGGTTTTGTTTTTAAACGGGAAGGCATAACATGGATTTGAAGTTTGTCCTCTGTGTTCTTGCACCCATGCTGCTCTAGTTAATCACTCAATGTCCCCTGTGTCTCAGCTTTCTCTGCAAGAAAGGTGTACTGGGGCCGCTTGGCCACCATTTAGAACGGCTGCATGGTCTGCAGTAGGTGGGAGAACTCACGTCCCAGGCTTCCTGAATCTATACTGATGCGGTCAGTTATTCTGAGACTTCACTTTCTGTGCCTCTCAGCACACTTTATAAAATAGAGTCTTAATGGCTGCTACCCATACTTCAGGGGACTGTAGACAACAAATGAAATTACTTAAAAATGCTTTCAGGTTTTTTTAATGCATTCTTTTAAAAAATAAAGTATTTAGTAAGGACTTACTATGCATGTACTTGGCTCTTTAAAGTCATTATCTTATTACATTCTTTTAACAACTTTATGAGTTAAATGCTTGTATTTTCATTTTTTGCTCAGGGGAAACTGAAGTTCTCAGAGGTTTATTAAGTCGTCTAGCTGTTCATTTGTAGATCCAGGATTAGAAAATAGGACTGTCAACTCTTAAATCATACCAGCTTGCCATACTGCGACATACACAAATATTTTTACCATTATGTGTATTACATGACATTAAAATGTTATTTTCTCTCTCTTCCTTCAGGAAAAGCAGACGATGTTCTGAATGGAGACCATGACAAGGAACAGAAAGATCCTTATTTTGTGGAGACTCCCTATGGTTTTCAGCTAGACTTAGATTTCCTCAAATATGTGGATGACATACAGAAAGGAAACACCATCAAGAAACTGAACATCCAGAAGAGGCGGAAGCCATCTGTGCCATGTCCAGAAAGCAGGGCCACAGCTGGCCAGCAAGGTGTATGGGTTTCCACTGAATCCCTCTCATCCTCCAACAGTGATGACTACAAGCAGTGTCCCAGCTTCCTCCTAGCCAGAAGCCAAGTTACGTCAACTCCAGCCCCAAGGCCACCTGCCCCTCTGGAGATCTCACCCACTTTTCTTACCATCCCAGAAAGTCGACAGCTGCCACCTCCCTCACCACAACTCCCAAAGCACAACTTGCATGTCACCAAGACACTGATGGAGACCCGGAGAAGACTAGAACAGGAGAGAGTCACTATGCAGGTGACACCGGGTGAGTTCCGAAGGCCCAGGCTGGCCAGTTTTGGAGGCATGGGCTCCACGAGCTCTCTCTCCTCCTTTATGGATTCTGGAAACCACAGTTCTGCCATGCACCAGCTTCAGAATGGATACCAAGGCAATGGGGATTACGGTGCTTATGCCCCAGCTGCTGCCACCACTTCTTCCATGGGGAGTTCCATTCATCACAGCCCCCTGAGCTCAGGGATTTCCACTCCAGTGACAAACGTGAGCCCCATGCACCTGCAGCACATCCGCGAGCAGATGGCCATTGCTCTGAAACGCCTGAAGGAGCTTGAGGAACAGGTGCGAACCATCCCTGTGCTCCAGGTAAAGATCTCTGTCTTGCAAGAGGAGAAAAGGCAGCTGGCCTCGCAACTGAAAAACCAAAAAGCTGCATCCCAGAACGATGTCTGCGGTGTGAGGAAGCGGTCCTATAGTGCTGGGAATGCATGCCAGCTGGAACAGCTCTCCAGGGCCCGGAGAAATGGCAGGGAATTATACATTGACTATGAAGAAGAAGAGATAGAGAGCGTGGAGCAGAGTACACAGAGGATAAAGGAGTTCCGGCAGCTCACAGAAGACATGCAGGCCCTGGAGCAGAAGATCCAGGACAGCAGCTATGAGGCCTCCTCAGAACTCAGGGAGAATGGGGAGTGTCACCCTCGAGAGTGCCGATCTGTAGCTGTAGGTGCCAATGAGAACATGAATGACATTGTTGTGTACCATAGGGACTCCAGGTCCTTTAAGGATGCCAGTGTAGGGACAGTCACTGAGACGAGGAGTTCTGGGGTCAGCGTGACAGAGGCCATGCTTGGAGTAACTACTGAGGCTGACAAAGAAATTGAGCTGCAGCAGCAGACTATAGAGGCCTTAAAGGAAAAGATCTACCGCTTAGAAGTACAGCTTAAAGAAACCACCCATGACAGAGAGATGACAAAACTCAAGCAAGAGCTGCAGGCCGCTGGATCGAGGAAAAAAGTTGACAAAGCCATGATGGCCCAGCCGCTTGTTTTCAGCAAGATGGTGGAGGCAGTGGTACAGACGAGAGACCAAATGGTTGACAGTCATGTGGACATTGTTGACACATGTGTTGGGACCTCTGTGCAAACAAGTAACATAGGCATCTCCTGCCAGCCCAATCGTGAGAATAAAGTCGTGGGGCCGGAGCTGCCCATGAATTGGTGGATTGTTAAGGAAAGGGTAGAAATGCGTGACCAGTGTACTGGAAGGTCTGTGGAGACGTGTGACAAGAGCATGGGTATGGAAATCAGCATCTGTGAAACAGGCAGCAACACGGAGGAGTCTGTGAACGACCTGACACTCCTCAAGACCAACCTGAATCTCAAAGAAGTACGTTCCATCGGTTGTGGGGATTGTTCTGTCAATGTAATCGTCTGTTCTCCGAAGGAGTGCCTCTCCCGGAGCACGAATACAGAGGCTGTTGGCCAGATGGAAGCTGCTGTCATGGCAGTGCCTCATACCACAAGCCAGCATACCAGTACAGTTTGGGAACAGGTGAACCAATTCACCAACACTGAGACGCCCATCCTTATAGAATCCTGTACCAACACTTCCCTCCACATGTTGGACAAGCAGACCAACACCCAGACTGCAGAGATGCGGACGGTGGCTATAGGAGAAGGCCGTGTCAAGGACATCAACTCCTCCACCAAGACACGGTCCATCGGAGTTGGAACGGTGCTCTCTGGCAATTCTGGGTTTGACAGGCCATCAGCTGTGAAGACCAAAGAGTCAAGTGTGGGGCAGATAAACATTAATGACAACTACCTAGTTGGTCTCAAAATGAGGACCATAGCTTGTGGGCCTCCCCCATTGACTGTGGGGCTGACAACCAGCAGGAGGAGCGTAGGTGTTGGGGATGAGCCTGTAGGAGAGTCTGTGGAGAGCCCCCAGCCCCAGGCTCCCTCTGGGATGATGACTGGCTTGGATCACTACATTGAGCGCGTCCAGAAGCTGCTGGCCGAACAGCAGACGCTGTTGGCCGAGAACTATAGTGAACTGGCAGAAGCTTTTGGGGAACCTCATTCACAGATTGGCTCTCTCAACTCACAGCTCATCAGCACCCTAACGTCGATCAATTCTGTCATGAAGTCTGCAAGCACTGAGGAGCTGAGGAACCCTGACTTCCCCAAAATGAGTCTGGGTAAAGTTGCAGGTAGGTGGCACTCTGAGGGACTTGGGGATGAGGAAGGACGGGGACAATGTATTTCTAGGAGGTAAGATTTTTTAAATGCTGGAATCATTTTTTGGAATCATGGACAAAGCTTTAGAATGGTCATCAGTAGAATGAAAACCAAGAATTGAGAACCACAGTCAATTCTGCTGATTCTTATTGTCTGGTGTGAGGACTAAGGCTAGAAGAGGAAAAGCAAACTAGTGCTGGCTAGCCTAGGGGCTGTTTACTGGGGCTGCTGGTTTGATTCGATGTCTTCCGGTTACTTATTTACTTGCTCATTTTATGTAGAACAACTTGGAAAAAGTCCATCACGGTTTGTAACCACAATTACCAGTATGTTATCAATAAAAAATACTGGTGTAAAATGTTTTCAATTAAAATTTTTGTGAGGGGAGAGAGACTCCATTAATTCATTTATTAACTCCTGCTCTGTTTCAAGCATAGGTATAGGCTCCTGCCCACGTGGTGCTTACATTCCAGTTGGGGGCACAGGCAATAAGCAGTAGACCTAAAATATGTCAGGCAGTGGTGATATGTACTGTAAAGAAAAGAGCTCCATTTCTAGGAATAGTGAGTGCTGCTGGTCAGGGTGGTCCAGGGAGGCCTCTTTTAAGCTAATAGATAAGTTACCTTGGAAGATTTTATAACGTAATATTTCCCTGCAAGCCTCACTAAAATGACTTCTATTGTTATCAGTTGCATGTGTCTCTAAGAGTGCACAATATCATCTTGGGACTGGGTTCCAGCATGACCTAGGGAAGGAAAGTCACTTTCCGCCTCATCGTAAAATGGGGATTAGAAGGGCACTCACCCTAAAAGGTTATCAGTGTGTTAGTCACTGGCATGTGATGAGCACAGGGTAGCCTTCGTTGCCATTGGTGGTGGTGCCAGTACATGTTGAGTGTTGTTTCCTTTGTTGTAATGCTGAACTGTAGTGTGGGGTTTGGGAAGCTACTACAGACATACTCTCCACTTTGACCAAATGCAACATGTAAAGTGAATATAAGGTGACTTGTATAGTGTGCATTAAATTTAATTATAATGTGAAGATGTGCAGAATTAAATGTAAGTAAGCCATTAACAAAAACTTCAGTCTTTCTGTTTCCCTTTATAGCCTGAAAGGGCAGTGGTTAAAATGTACTGAAATATATCCCTTATATCTTCCTAGGTTTCCACTTTCAATCTTGAATTAATATTAGTTTTTAGTCACTGTACTGTGGAACCAATAGTTTATTATAGAAGGAAAAATGAACATGACCATGACAGCTGATATGTGGGTTTTTGCCTTTTAGAATCAAAGGAGTCTAAGAAATGCACATGGGAGTCATTTTAGAGTAAATGATTAAAATAGTATTAAAATAACATGTGAACTGAAGCAAAGTCTTAAGTAACTAATAATATGTCTGTTTCCACTTCTTTTTAAAAATCATGATGTCAGATGTTGAAATCAAAATAAAACTCTTAAATATCTCCAGACACAGATGGTACAGTGGATCATCCATTATGAAAGCATTTCCCTGCCAGCCTTCCTCCCTCCTCCCGAAACTGAGGTTTCTATTTCACATTCTTGCCAAAAATATTCATCCGAACCATTGGAGTAATCTGCCCAACACCCTGAGCATCAAGAGCAGGGAGAAAGTTTTGTCTGGCCATGTTACAGTGTTTTTTGGTATTTCCAGTCACACTGACATTCCATACATCTCTGTTTAGATCTGACCCCACCAGTGAACACCTAATTAATCAGCCACAGTGCACGAGACTATACCATTCACCCACAAAAGTATAAATATTTCGAATATCACTTATTTGGTCAGAGTGGCAGCTCCCTCTCAGAGTGCGCAAGAACAAATTTTAAGTATTTCTGTAATTACATCATATTTGCGTTTTAAACATTTTTGCTTTAAAGTTCTAATGAAGAAGGAATTCGGTTAGAACTCAACCCCTGAGTACTGAATTTTTGTTATCTGGTGTTAGCAAATTTAAAGTATTTCTGTAATTACATCATATTTGCGTTTTAAACATTTTGCTTTAAAGTTCTAATGAAGAAGGAATTCGGTTAGGAACTCAACCCTGAGTACTGAATTTTTGTTATCTGGTGTTAGTTACATGGACTGAAAATGAAAGCAGCTTGATCTAGTAAGGTAGAGATTCTCAGTACCTACAAGCTGTGAAGAGTAAAGGTGTGTCAAAATACACTATGGCTTACCGTGTACACCATACAGTAGAGAATATTGCTCACATACTGTCATGCATTTCTGTAGCAAAGGGCATACTGGGGTATAGAAAGGTATTCATTTCAAACTTAATTCCCCAAATAAAATGATAGGGAATTTGGGTTTGATATCTACCAAAAAGAACATATAAATGACCACTTATGTGAACCTAGTCCTTTAGTTTAAAGAAGTCATTAAGTTTGGACTCTGAAGCCCAACACTCTCTGCCACTAGGACAAGTTGTCTTTGTTCCCTCACAAGGTTGAAATGAAGATTTAGTGAGTTAATAAAGGTGTAAAGCATTTGGAACAGTCTGTAGCTTGGAGTATAAATGCTCAATAAACACTGGCAGTTATTGCTGTTGCTATTTTTAGTACTTCCAGAAAAGAAATGTAGATATACAACAAATTGCCAAATAAAAATTGCACAGATGATCTTTTGTTTTTGATCCAAATTTTTATCTTCATAATTTTGGTTGACCATCACCTTTTCCCCTCAATTATTATACTTCCCCAATTAACAATTTTATCTTGATAAACAAAGAAATAAATGAAAATGGGAAAACAAATTTTCAGTTCAGAGTCATTCAGAATCTGTAGGAAAGCTCAAAACGAAGCCACAATTAAACTAAGTGTATTATAAGTTTCCAATGTAGAGACTTGTCTTCAGTTTGCTTAGGATTGAAGATTTGAGCATATCACATTTTACTATGCAAAATAGCATTACTTTTAGCAGCATAGTAATACTAAACTCGTATCTATTTTCTTAAAATTAAAACTTTAGTATGTGCTTATAACAAATCAACAGTTCACAAGAGCATAAAATAAAGAGTGATACCCTCCCCCACCCTCTCATCGGGTAACTCTGGGTGTGTTTGGTATTACAAGTGTGTATGTGTGTGGGTCTGTATTTTAGAGATGTACTTTTTTAAAGAATAATTAGATCATACATATTCTATGTATCTTTCACGTAAAAGATTACAAACATTTTTCCAGGATTTAGAGACAATGTTGTAGTTTTGATGCAGCTGGAATTTGGTGGTGACCAAAGATGTTCTGTAAAGCCCTTTTTGATTCTTGGTAGTCAGAGTTTCATGTGTTTAAGGTTTTCCGTCATAGAATTAAAAAGTTAAGAGGAAATAAGTTTCTGTTCTTATAGAAACCTTAGGAAAAATGTTTATTCTTCCTGTAAATCAAATGTTTATTCTTCCTGTTTTGGTTTGAGGAGTGGGTTAATATTTCTTTTCTCTCTCTCTCTCTCTTTCCTTCTGGAAGAGGAAGAAGAGAGAAAATTCTACACAAATCACTTGGAGTTACAAATAGTTAAAAATACATAACTGCCTCTGAGCAAATACAAACAAAACTATGAGTGTACTTAACTGCCTGCCACATGAGTTATAGACTTCTATTGAAACCAGCTTCCAGTTTTGCACTTAGTTATCTTTGCTTTGTTAAAAATTTATGAACTTGAAGTAATTCCCATGCCAATGAGAGCAACTTTGTAGAAAGAGATGTTAGCCAAAGCAAATGCAGGGAAATAAATTGTTACAAAATACCATTTCTAGTATTTTTAAAAATAATTTCTTCAAATTATTCACTTGTTCTACTACCTGTTTTTTTTTTTTAATTTCAACATATGTTTGGTTGGTTTTTTTTTTCAATTTTATTAAGTTTATCGGGGTGACATTGGTTAATAAAATTATATAGATTTCAAGTATACAATTCTTTAATACATTATCTGTATATTGCATTAGGTGTTTATCACCCAAAGTCAGATCTCCTTCCATCATCATATATTTTACCCCCTTTACCCTAATCTACCCTCCCCCTCCTTCTATCTAGTAACCACCATGCTATTATCTATGTCTATGAGGTTTTTTTTTTTTATCTTGTTCCTTGTTGCTTTCTGTTTTATATCCCACTATGAGTGAAATCATATGGTTCTTGACTTTGCCCATCTCACTTATTTTGCTTAGCATAATTATCTCAAGATCCATTCATTGTTCACAAATGGCAGTATTTCATCTTTAGTACCTATTTTTCTTATCACAATTTTATTTTAATAGATGCTACAAGAGCATCAGAATAATCAAAACAAACATTTCTGGAACCCTGCAGTATATCATGGCATAATGTAGTTAGGGGAAACGCCACTGACCTAGGAGTCAGCTGACTTCTGACACTGCCTGTGCAAGAACTTGGGAGAGTCACTTCAGACAGGGAGAGTTTGAGCCTCCATGTCTTCCTATGTCATGAGAAAGGTGACTTGGATTTTTCTTTCTTGGAGCCCTTTCAGCAAATTTTTCTATAAAAGTATCTCATCACCAGGCTGCCCATCAGATTCACCTGGGAAAATTTTACAAAATTCGTTGGTTTCTTACCACCCACCACCACCACCCACTCACCCACCCAACGGACACATCCAGGCCTATTTCAGGGAAATATTTTTGGCATAAACACCCTTAGAGCAAAAGCTTCTTACCCTAGGGTCCAATAGCTTCATGAACAGTTTTGTATTTGGAATTTTTATGAAGAAAATGCATAATTTTTATCTGTCTCAAAAGGGACAGCTGACTCAGAAGGATTGAAATTATAGATCTAGGACATCTCTCTCAGACCTTGGAGAAAAAGCCCTTCAGCCCTGAGGAAAATCTTTTACAAAGTTTAAAATCTGTTTACTACCTTCGTGAGCCCTTCAGCTGACACTGTTCGAAAATCTTCCTCTGTTAAACTGATGCTTTATCATTTTCAATGGATATTAATGAAA